TATTTTTTTTAAAGCTTACTGAGTAATTTTTTTAAGCTTTCTATATGAATTTAATAATATTCAAAACTGTAGAATAAATAGAAATAAATTTTAAACGCATAATTATTATATCATGGGGGTAAACTTACAAAAATTAATTTCTCAAATAAAGAAAAGGTTTAGTCAAAAACAAAATAATAGTTTATGTATGTAAAAATATGTGTATGAATGTATATATGAATATATGTGTGTATGTATATATGAATGGATTAGAATTGAAGATTTTAAAATTTTTCGTTCCAACATATGAACGTATGTACATATGAATGTATTAGAATCGAAAATTTTGAAATTTTGCTGTTGGAAAAATTATAAATAAAATTATAAATGCAAATATACATAATTATGAATGGATACCTGTTTTTTTTAAACTGTGGGTAAACATATAGGATTGAATTTTAAACATAAAGAAAAGGTTTAGTCAAAAACAAAATAATAATTTATGTATGTAAAAATATGTGTATGAATGTATATATGAATATATGTGTGTATGTATGTATATATGAATGTATTGGAATTTAGCATTTTTTACAGGTTTTCGCTCGAACAATAAAAATAAAATTTTAGGTAGATACATACGTACATAAATTGTGTATGTATATTTTTTTAAAGCTTGCTGACGAAACATAATATTCAAAACAATAACAAATGAAGCATTAATATTCAGTTGCCACAAAACATCTGATGTCTTTTATAAAATCTGACATTTATTTAAGTTTATTTCGATTTTTCGAAATTAAAATATATGTGAGATCATTGCATTTTCAAATATTATTTATTTCTCGGTTTGTGTTTCTAATAATAAAAATAACGTAAAACGTATCATTTATTTCTTGGTTTGTGTTTCTAATTATAAAAAGTATAAAAGAAAAACGTGCTTTTGTTATACAAAAATTTTTTCAGAAAATCTTAAAATAGAGCTATTTCGGGGCTAAAAAGTTCCAATGTCAGATTTTTCTGGGACCCTGGAGGCAAAACTCTATCTAATGCCTTTTGTTCCATGTCTCTAGCCCTTCTAGAAGTACCCGTACTTTTTACCACCTGAGAAGTAGCTATATATATATAATGTAAAATATGATGGTTTTTGATGAGTTATACGATATATGAATAAAATATAGAATTATTAAGGGAAATTCAAGGTACTGCGTAGCCTAGTGGTTAGCGTGGTATTCTCATAGCCAGAAGGTTATTGGATCAATGCTTGCCTGGATGTTGTATTTTTCTTTTTTTGGATTATTTTAAAAATTTTTTTTTTTATTTTGTTTAAATTTTGTGTTTTATTTTTTTTTAATATATAACAGATAAATGTTATTATAAAAGTTTAAAGAAAATTTCCAAAAAAATGTTCTTATAATAGTTTGGAAAAATTCGCAAAAATTTTAAGTACATAAATATGTATGTAGTATGTATATTTTTTTTTAAAGCTTCCTGAGTAATTTTTTTTAAGCTTTCTATATGAATTTAATAATATTCAAAACTGTAGAATATATAGAAATAAATTTTAAACGCATAATTATTAAATCATGGGAGTAAACATACAAAAATTAATTTTTCAAATAAAGAAAAGGTTTAGTCAAAAACAAAATAATAATTTATGTATGTAAAAATATATGTAAGTATGTATATATGAATACATGTGTGTATGTATATATGAATGGATTAGAATTGAAGATTTTAAAATTTTTCGTTCCAACATATGAACGTATGTACATATGAATGTATTAGAATCGAAAATTTTGAAATTTTGCTGTTGGACAAATTAGAAATAAAATTATAAATGCAAACATACATAATTATGAATGGATACCTGTTTTTTTTAAACTGTGGGTAAACATATAGGATTGAATTTTAAATATAAAGAAAAGGTTTAGTCAAAAACAAAATAATAATTTATGTATGTAAATATATATGTATGTATGTCTATATGAATATATGTATGTATGTATATATGAATGGATTAGAATTGAAGATTTTAAAATTTTTCGTTCCAACATATGAACGTATGTACATATGAATGTATTAGAATCGAAAATTTTGAAATTTTGCTGTTGGAAAAATTAGAAATAAAATTATAAATGCAAACATACATAATTATGAATGGATACCTGTTTTTTTTTTAAACTGTAGGTAAACATATAGCATTGAATTTTAAACATAAAGAAAAGGTTTAGTCAAAAACAAAATAATAATTTATGTATGTAAAAATATATGTATGTATGTATATATGAATATATGTATGTATATATGAATGGATTAGAATTGAAGATTTTAAAATTTTTCGTTCCAACATATGAACGTATGTACATATGAATGTATTAGAACCGAAAATTTTGAAATTTTGCTGTTGGAAAAATTAGAAATAAAATTATAAATGCAAACATACATAATTATGAATGTATACCTATTTTTTTTAAACTGTGGGTAAACATATAGGATTGAATTTTAAACATAAAGAAAAGGTTTAGTCAAAATCAAAATAATAATTTATGTATGTATGTAAAAATATATGTATGTATGTATATATGAATATATGTATGTATGTATATATGAATGGATTGGAATTTAGCATTTTACAGGTTTTCGCTCGAACAATAAAAATAAAATTTTAGGTAGATACATACGCACATAAATTGTGTATGTATATTTTTTTAAGCTTGCTGACGAAACATAATATTCAAAACAATAACAAATGAAATATTAATATTCAGATGTCACAAAACATCTGATGTCTGAAAAAAGCTGACATTTATTTACGTTAAGATTAATTCGTTTATCCGAACCAAAAATATGTGAGATTATTATATTTTAAAATATTATTTATTTCTCGGTTTGTGTTTCTAATAATAAAAATAACGTAAAACATATCATTTATTTCTTGGTTTGTGTTTCTAATTATAAAAAGTATAAAAGAAGAACGTGCTCTTGTTATACAAAAATTTTTTTAGAAAATCTTAAAATAGAGCTATTTCGGGGCTAAAAAGTTCCAATATCAGATTTTTCTGGGACCCTAAGGGCAAAACTCTATCTAATGCCCTTTGTCCCACGTCTGTAGCCCTTCTAGAAGTACCCGTACTTCTTACCACCTGAGAAGTAGCTATATATATATAATGTAAAATAGGATGGTTTTTGAAGAGTTGTACGAAATATGAATAAAATATAGAATTATAAAGGGAAATTCAAGGTACTGCGTAGCCTAGTGGGTAGCGTGGTAGTCTGATAGCCAAAAGGTTATTGGATCAATGCTTGCCTGGATATTGTCATACTTTTCTTTTTTTGGATTATTTTAAAAATTTTTTTTTATTTTGTTTAAATTTTTGGTTTTATTTTTTTTTTAATATATAACAGATAAATATAATTATAAAAATTTAAAGAAAATTTCCAAAAAAAAAAATTGTTACAATAGTTAAGTACATAAATATGTATGTATATATTTTTTTAAAGCTTCCTAACTAATTTTTTTAAGCTTTCTATATGAATTGAATAATATTCAAATTTGTGGTTTGGCATATAGAAACACATAATAATTAAATCATGGGGGAAACATAAGAAATAAATTTTTCAAATTAAGAAAAGGTTTAGTCATAAATAAAATAAAATTTTTATTCAAATATATGTATGAACATTAATATATTAGAATTGAACATTTTAAAATTTTTTGTTCAAAAAATTTGAAATAAAATTTTAAGCAAAAACGTACATAATAGTGAATGTATACCTATTTTTTTAAAACTGCGGGTGAACATATAGAAATAAGTTTCTCAAATAAAGAAAAGGTTTAGATTAAAATAAAATAATAATTGTATTCAAATATATGTAGTAGGTATTCTGGCACTCTGGGGATGGGAAAAAATCAGCCCATATCGCACGACCCACTTTCACTTTCTTATTTCCTGGTATAGGTAGATGACCTACTAAAGTGTGTCATGACCTGTATAACGGGTCGTTTATTTTCTGGTATAGGTAGATGACTTGTTTGAGTTTGTTATGACTCATGTACAATTGAATGTACGAAGCTGAGGTGGTCGCCAGGTCAATGAGGTCAAAGGTGTCCGAGTTTACTTGTCCGAGTTCAGCATACTTGAGACTTTGCATGATTGATGTGCAAGTATGTCATGACCCTTTGATTGTTGTTGATTCGAGGAGTTGTATAGCCTTGGTATCGTCGAGCAAGTTTTAGTTAATGGCGGAAGTTGTTTCTAAGGTCGTAGACCTAGCTTTGAAGTAAAGAGTTCAGGAAGTTGGGAATAAAGAGAATGTTTTTTTAAGTAATGTTAACGGGATATCACGAAAAAAGTAGCATTATTTTTATATAGGTACCATGTGTAAGAATACTACTACTACAACTTTTTTATTATTTTGAAGAAGAGTGTAGAAAAATGCAATAAGATATTTTTATTTATATCTTATGATTAATTACATCTTGTATTGCTTTTCTTGTTTTGTTTTGCTTCTGTTGTTTAATTTTTCGCATTAAAAGGTAAAAAGAAATATGAAAATATTTCAATGCATTTTATGATGCATAACATACATATCTATTCATATATTTGTAGTTACTTAAGGTTAAGTTTAGGAAATAGAAGGAATGAAATTCTTGTTCGATTCTTCGTGAAACAAGAAAAAAAAATGTTGAAGGCTTAAAAGTGATATGTAAAGAATGATCTGGTTTTGATTTTGGTTTTTATGAAAACAGAATGAAGAAAAAAAATAAAGCATCTTTTTAACTCATATATAAAAATGTCGTATTTTTTAAATTTTCTGAGAGCCTGGTACTAAGTATATTGGTGTTATTTGTATGTTGAAAAACAACAAAAAATAGATTTAAATGTTGTTCTTTTTTCTTATGGAAGCAACAGATTTCATAACATAAAATCTAAACCTATAGAAAAAAGGAAAATTATGAAACATTTAAAAACACATAATTATTTTTATTGTAATTGAAATTTATTTCGACCATATTTCCAATGGCTTTGTCGAAATTACCAAAAGCTTTTGATCTACAATTTAATATGAAGAAAGGGTATTTTCCGCATCTTTTTAACATAGCGAAAAATGAAAATTATATTGGGCAATTACCCTCTGTAGAATATTACAATCCAAACGACATGAAAGTAGATGAGCGTGAAACCTTCTTAAAATGGTATGAAGAAAATAAAAATAAAATGTTTAACATTAAAAAAGAAATTATTGAATACTGTGTTAATGATGTTGCCATTTTAACACAATCTTGTTTAAAATTCAGAGAAATGTTCTTGAAACAGTGTAATGTTGAACCATTTCTAGAAGCAACAACAATTGCATCTGCGTGCAATCTTGCATTTAGAAGAAATTTTTTAAAAGAGGACACAATTAGTTTAATTCCTAAACATGGATACAGAAACTCAGACAATCAATCAAAAGTGGCTATTCAATGGTTAGTATGGGAAGAAGAAAAAAGAAATATTAACATCAGACATGCAGCAAAACAGAAAGAATCATTTGTTAACAGTGTAAAAGTGGACGGGTTTTGTTCAGAAACTAATCAAGTTTTTGAATTTTACGGTTGTTATTATCATGGACACCCTACTTGTATACCACATAACCGAAATAACAGTTTGCAAGACGATTCAAATGATACAATGAACACGAGGTATGAAAGAACTATTAAAAAAAGCTGAAAGATTACGAAAATTAGGTTACGATGTTATTGAAATGTGGCAATGTGAATTTAATTCATTAATTAGTAAAGAAGAAGTAAGTTATTTAAAAAAACATCCGTTAGTGCAACATGCACCATTGAATCCTCGAGATGCTTTTTATGGAGGACGAACAGGAAATGTCTACAACTATTATAAATGCAAAGAGGAAGAAAAAATAAAATATATAGACATTTGCTCGTCACACCCTTGGGTTTGCAAGTACGGAAAATTTCCTATTGGCCACCCGCAAATTTATGTCGGGGAAAGTATTTGTTCTACTCTAAAACTAAATAACATGGATGGAATTCTTAAATGTAAAATTTTACCTACAACGAACTTACTACATCCCGTTCTCCCGTTAAAACAAAACAACAAGCTAATGTTTTCATTATGTCGAAGTTGTAGTGAAGAAAAATGCCTTGAAGAATGTTGTCCACATTCAGATGAGGAAAGAGCTTTAATAGGAACATGGGTAATTGTCGAAGTTGTAAAAGCTATTCAAAAAGGTTATAAAGTGTTAGAAATTTATGAAGTGTGGGTATACCAAACTACAAAATATGATAAAAACATGGATACACAGGGCTTATTTACAAATATGATGAACAAATTTATTAAAATTAAGCAAGAAGCTTCAGGCTGGCCATCTAAATGTGTCACTAATAACGAAAAAGAAAACTATGTTAAAGATTTTTTTGACAAAGAAGATATTCAATTAGAGCATGAAAATGTTAAATTCATTTTGGGGCAAATTTGGTCAAAGAGAAAATTTACAAAAAACATCAATCATTAACCAGCCTAGAGAATTGTACAATCTGTTAACAAACCCATCTATAGAAGTTTGTTATATTTTTCCGGTAAATGAAGAAAACATTATAGTTAATTGGCAGTACAAGGAAGAAGTAATGGATTTCTTACCAACAGTTAATGTGTGTATTGCTGCTTACACAACAACTCAGGCGCGATTAAAACTGTACAGTTACTTAGAAAACTTCAAGAGAGAGTCTTATATTACGATACTGATTCCGTAGTGTATATCAGTCGTGAAGGAGACTATGAACCTTCAGTAGGAGATTTTATTGGTGACATGACAGATGAGTTAGAATGTTATGGTAAAGATAGTTACATAACAGAATTTGTAAGCGGTGGCCCCAAAAATTACTCATTTAAAAATATAGTACAAAAGATAAAGAAGAAAAAATTATATGTAAAGTTAAGGGTTTTTGTTTAAATTATGAAGCTTCCCAAAAAATTAATTTTAACACAATCAAAGAATCTGTGTTAAACCCTTAAGCAGACAACGAAATTTATATATTATCACAAAATATTGGGCGCAAAAAAGAACACAAAGTACTAACGGTTCCGCAAATAAAAGTATATCAACCGAAATCAGAAAAACGCAACTTTGCTGTAGATGGTAGCTCCCTTCCTTACGGATATAAGAGGTTAAAACAAAACTAAATTTGTAAAAAAATAAAAATATAAAAATAAATTAAAAAATAAAAAACAAACAAAAGAATTACTTTCTCCAATTTTTATTATTGTACAAAGGTCGAAAAATAAAACTATGTATATAATATGTACTATGTTTTAAATAATACTATCTTTATTGATCCATGTATTATGATCGTCGCTGAACCCCAGCCATTTTACGAAAACTTTATTTCCCTGTTTTTTAATAATTTTTTCTACTAGGTAAGCATCAGGATATTTAACAGGAGTAAGTTCTTCCTTATAGAAACCACCAGAAATAGTATTGTCTTTATAGTCAACTAATTGATATGTAATAGGATATGTTTTATTTACTTTAGCGAATTTAAAAATCTTAGTAGACCAGTTAGGTTGATAACCTTTTTCAAAATGCTTTTTGTATTTATTTATCCTTACATAATCACCAATTTTATATTTACTTTTTTGTAAAATTTTAGGTTCTATATAGATATTTCTTAATAAATATTGTTAATTTTTCTTTGTAACTTCTTCAGGCGAAATTTTTATTTTCTTATGTTTTGTTGAATTATACTTCTGTATTAATGATGATAAAATATGTAACCATTTATAATTTCCATTTAAACTAAAGGTTTTCCACATCATATTTTTTAATGTTCTATTAAATCTTTCGACAATTGATGCTTTCATTTCGCTGAATGTGTGATAATGATTAATTGCTTTTTCTTTCATATAATTTTGGAATTTTGAATTAAAAAACTCCTTGCCTTCGTCAGATTGAATATTTTTGGGAATTGATTTTGATCTTTTAATTATTAATTTTAAAGAGTTTAAAACATTTTCAGCATTTTTTGTTTTTACAGGTTCTGCGTAAGCGTATTTTGAAAATATATCTATAGCTGTTAACATGTATTTATATCCTCTATTGAATTTAGCGTAGGGTATCATTTCAACTAAATCTATTTGCCACGTATTATTTATTCCCTTTTGCTTGAATTTTCTTCTGAGATATCGTTTTCTAGCTGGTCTATGTATCTCCGATACTATTTGAGATTTTGACATTTTTTTTATACCAGTCAATCAATTTTGCAACTTTGATTTTGTATTTTTCTATTGTATGGTGTATCGAACTAGTTAATTGTAATTTATGTTTAAATGTTTTTAAGTAATTGTTTAAATATAAAATTTGATTCTTATGTTCTTCCAAAATAACAGAATCATATTTTTAAAATAAGAAAAATAAAAGGATTCGATTATTTATATAAGCCGTTGCAGCTCAATAAAAATGAACAAAGTCAGTATTTTTATATTTAAGCATGATTCAAATAAAAAACTTTAGTATACATCAATTTATAATCGTAGCAGCATAACTGTAACGAATTTTCCAGTTTTACTAAAGAAATAAAATGGATACTCAATCACCAAGAGGGGATGGGGTTTCAATTATGTTCAATAATGAAGAAGAACCAATTCAGATACCAAATTCATTTTGCTGGAATTGCTATAAATGTCTTATGCTGTATATGGTATTTTTATGTTTGCTTTTTATTATTTTTACAATTACTCATGTTTTAAATAACACAAAAATAATGTAAATAAAAGAAAAAATAAAATACAAGTAACATATTAGTCTAGTAGCATAGTGCTTTTATTTATTTCTAAATATTTTTTTATCTTATTTTTAAGTAAAAACGGAATTTCATAAAACAATCTAGAATAATTACATTGAAAGTTAAATCGATCAAATGGTATATAAATTTCACTTTTTAGTATGATTTCATTGTTTTCTACACATTGTCTTATATATTTCCTTACATAGTCTTTTACACCTTCTTCAGCCTTGTGGTTGTAATCCATTACCAAATGAATAAAATCAATTAGGATATGAAATTCATCCATCTCTCCGCTCCTTAACACGAAAGTTTGTAAATTTTTTGTTTTTATTCCAAATTGTAGACATGAGACCTTGTTGTTTATAAATTTTTTTTTATACTTTGTTTGAAATTGCTGATAAAATTCCACCCAATCTTCATAATTTACAAAAATTTCCTTTTTTCCAATACGGTGTATTGAAATGGTTGCTTCTAATAATTCTACGTGGAATCCTATTACTACTTTTATAGTATGTGTTTTGTTTAAAAAATAAGTATACGCCAACAACATGTTTTAAGAAACACTGATTAAGTAATGCTGATCTAGCTATCTGTTTTTAAACTGCATTTTAATTGAGACATTTCATCTTTTATATAACATGATTTCTAGAAACACATCTCTGAATATTCTGCTTTCCAAATATATTGTGAAATTTTCTTAAAACTATTTGATCATTTTTAATATGGTTGCGTTTCTTAAATTCACGTAAAAAATTATTCATACTTATACCAAAACATCTATACCATGCATCACGCAACAGTATTCTCCACAAACTTCTGAAAAGGTGCTTTGTAATTGTTTGTCATTGAAAACAATACATTTATCTTTTAAAAAACTTAAAATTTCCTTTTTATTTGGTAAACCTCCATAAGAATCAAAGTATTCAACACAACCATATTTTGGAATATATATGGCTAACCAATGTTCGCCAGGATCTTTTGCTTTATCAGTATTTATAATTATAAGCGAAGATCTTTCAAGGTTTTTTGGTATTTGATCTAAAGCAAATACACCTCTAAATTTTTTTCTTGTATATTTATTGCAATTTAAATATTTTATAATATCTAAAGTATTCATAAATTTAATTCACTTAAATCATAAACTGTACTGTTTTCTTTAATGTAATGCGAAATGAAATCTTTTTTGATTTTTCCGTTAGTCAATATCACATTGAATTTTTCTAATATTTCTTTAAGTTCATAGCTTATATTGTCATTAATCAAAGTTCCAAACGAATAGTTTTCCAAATTTTCATATATTAGTTCCTTAGTTGGAAATTTGTAAGAAAACTCCTTTATAATTTTTTTGCATTTTTCTTGAATCCCAACTAAGCAAATATCTTTTACAAATAAGCTATTCTTGTCGTCACAACAAAACGTTATATCAACAAGTACATAAGGCGATGACATTATCTTGAATATTAAAACCATTTATGTAATTGTTCTATTTATAGGTTTGTGAAAATATTTCTATTTTTGTCAATTTCAACACTTGCATCAAATTCTCCATAGACAATAGCAGTCAATACAGATGATTGCGCTTTAGATAACCTTGCCTCAATTCTAATTGTACCTTGATTAAATAGACCCTGACATATCTCATTTCCTGATGCATCTGGTGTCAAATCGAAAGCCAAGATGAAAAATCCACTACTAAACATAGATTTTGATATTTGATGTCCTCTGTCATTATGATAAATTCCTGTACCAGAGAAAAGTGTATGGTATGCACGAGTATGACAATTATTTTCATCTGAAAAACTTGTTTCAATTGCTGTGTTTGGTACTTGTACACCATTTACATACAATACAAACTGGGACATATCAAAATGTCGAAAATTATATGGATTTTTTGATCTTTTTCCAGAGTAGCCAACATTTTCTGTAAGGCAAAAAATTATGGTGTTGGGTAATTGCCCAATGAAGACATTATCAAGTGAAATAGTTGATGTATAAGAAGGAATTGTAAAACTTTTTACTTCAACACGTTTGTAATTGTACTTGGCATTAGATTTTTCTAGAACAGCATTATGGGCTAGTAGTACACTTGGGTTTATTGTTACGTGTTTCATAAATAATGTAGCTTTCAAAATTTTTAACTGAGATTCATCAGCATCGTCTGCAAAAATATAAAAATCTGGTTTTTCAAGTGTAAAGTAATTCTCACATCAATGTTTTTTATTAAAAGAGTCGGTTGGTTAAACATATCCAAATGTAGTTTACCCATTAGCTCTACGATATTGCTGTTGTGATAAAGTTTTTGACGTTCTTTTGATCCATTATTATCTGGTTTTGCTATGTTTGGTTTATCTAAACACCATCCAGCACACTCTAAATAAGTAGTAGCGGCATCCGTACCATAATTTAATAATGATTCAATGTATGCTCTGTAATGATAATTTCTATCTGACGGGGTAATACTTTTTCCGTTAAATTGAACATTACACTGTTTTATTATTGAGTGTAGAAGATTATTCACTACACTTGGTTGGGGCAATGTTTTTCCGTCGGCACCTTTGTCGTTATTCCAATGGTTTCCATCTTTTTTAACAATTTGTACCTTTAATCTAAAATATGTAGAAGATAAATCTCTGTATGTATCACCATTGTAATAAAATTATATTTGTCAGGGTTGCCATGTAATAAGTTTATGGTTTATTTATATTTTAATTACGTTTTCCCTAATGGCGATAAACGCCGATCTATCCAAGTTTGGCACTACTGCCGATTTGGAGAATCTTCAGTTTTAAAAAGAAAAACAAGATGTTTGTAGTTTCGATTCAAAACTTTGATTGTTTATTTTAAAAACTTATTCTACTATTTATACTAAATTCTTATTCTAAATTTACTTTAAATTGTTATTGTAATATTTACAATATGTTTCTTAAAATCTAGGTTTCTAGTTAATTATTTCTATTTCCTGGAAAAGAAAGTGCAATTCATATACCTTCATTCACTCATTACTTAAAATTACGTCAAACAATAATAATGACTGAAAATGCATAGGCTTGCATTTTTCATATTAACATTATGCATACCGCTTTATACTCTAATGTATAATATAAACATAAAGGTATGCATTGTTGTTATACACATCATAAAGTGTAAGCGAAACATATGTTCACCATATGATAATATGCCGCTTGTTTGCAAGTAATGAAATTTTAAACCGTTTAGGTAAGCAATGTATGTATGCTATGAATATATTATGGTAATGTACGTATATCGTGAATAGGTAGGTATATAGTAATGTATGTAATTAATGTATGTATATTGTATATGCACTACACCCTTTCCGCTCGGAAAAATAAAATTTTTTATTGAAAAAAAAATTTTATTGTTGTTTGTATATTTTTAATCAATTGTTATGTATGGTTTTTATTGTATTTTTTATTTTTATTTTGGAATTTACGCCGTCTGTTTGAATTAATTTGTATGGACCATTATATGGGCTATCTAATTTGTATTTATTTTCATTTTTAACAAATACTAAATCGCCTATTTGAAATTGTATTGGCTTTAAATTTATATCATATTTATCTTTTCTTTGTTGTTTTACGGTTTCAGTTAATTTTCTTGCCTGTTTGGCAGCATAATTTAATCTGGCTTTTAGTTCTAAGGCATAGTCATCTATGTCTTGAATTGGAATATTATTATTGAAATTTAAATCAGTTGGTAAAGTGGCTATTCTCCCGTAAACTAATTCGAAAGGTGAATAGTTAGTGTCTACGTGAGGCATTGTATTATAGCAAAAAGTAAAGTATGGGATCCATTTATCCCATTCATAGTCTACTGTGAAAGATAATAAATATTGATTAAGAAATCTATGATTGCGTTCTATTGCGCCTAAAGTTTGATGATGGTAAGGTGTAGATTTTAAATGTTCTACACCGAAAATTTTACTTATATTTTGAAAAGTTTCATTAATGAATTCTGTGCCAAGATCTGTTTTAACTGTTTTAAAATTACCGTATCTTAAGATAAAGTTTTCAACTAAGGCTTTAGATATAGTTTCTGCGTTTTTATTTTGAAGTGGTA